GAAGTAAATAAAATGGAAACAACAACAACAAAAAACATAAATGCAACAAAAGCTGTTTTTTGGAAAAGATAAACATCAACAGACCATTAGGGAGATTAACCAAGAAAAGAATATCCAAATAGGCTCAATTAGAAATGAAACAGGAGTTATTAAAACTGATATCACAGAAATACAAACGATCACTCAAGGCTACTATTAACATCTTTATGCACACAAACTAGAACATCTAGAGGAGATGGATAAATTCCTGGAAATATACAACCCTCCTAGATTAAATCAGGAAGAAATAGAAATTCTGAATAGACCAATAACAAGTAGTGAGATTGAAACAGTAGTAAAATAAATTGCCAACAAAAAAAGTCCAGGAACAGACGGATTCGCAGCTGAATCCTATCAGACATTCCAAGAAGAATTGGTACCAATCTTACTGAAACTATTCTAAAAGATAGTGAAAGAGGGAATCCTCTCTAAATCACTCTATGAAGCCAGTATCAGCCTAATACCAAAACTAGTAAAGGACGTAACAAAAAAAGAAAACTACAGACCAATATCTTTGATGAACATACATGGAAAAATCCTCAACAAAATACTAGCTAACTGAATCCAACAGCATATCAAAAAGATAATACACCATGATCAAGTGGGTTTCGTACCAGGGATGCAGGGATGGTTTAACATACACAAATCAATAATTTTGACATATCACATAAACAATTAAAAACAAAAATCCTATGATCATCTCAATGGATGCAGAAAAGCATTTGACAAAATCCAGTATCCTTTTATGATTAAAACTCTCAGCAAGATTGACATAGAAGGGACATATGTCAAGGTAATAATGACAATCTATGACAGACCCACAGCCAACATTATACTGAATAGGGAAAAGTTGAAAGCATTTCCCCTGAGAACTAGACCAAGACAAGGATGCCCACTTTCATCATTACTATTCAATATAGTACTGGAAGTCTAGCCAGAGCAATCTGACAAGAGAAAGAAATAAAGGGTATCCAAGGCAGTAAAGAGGAATTAAAACTGTTGTTGTTTAACGGTGATATGATCATGTGCCTAGAAAACCCTAAAGACTCATCCAAAAAGCTCCTAGATCTGATAATGAATTCAGTAAAATCTCAGGATACAAAACCAACTGCACAAACCAGTAGTACTGCTATACACCAACAATGACCAAGCTGAGAATCAAATCAAGAACTGAATCCCTTTTTATGACAGCTGCAAAACAAACAAACAAACCCCCAAAACTTAGGAATATACCTAACCAAGGAGGTAAAAGACCTCTATAAGGAAAACTACAAAACGTTGCTGAAAGAAATTATGGATGACACAAACAAATGGAAACACATTTCATGCTCACGGATGGGTAGAATCAATATTGGGAAAATGACCAAACTGCCAAAAGCAATCTACAGATTCAATGCAATTCCCATCAAAATACCATCATCATTCTTCACAGAACTAGAAAAAACAATCCTAAAATTCATATGGATCCATAAAAAGAGCTCACATAGCCAATGCAAGACTAAGCAAAAAGAACAAATCTGGAGGTATCACATTACCCAACTTCAAACTAAGCTATAGTTACCAAAACAGCAAGGTCATGGTATAAAAATAGGCACACAGACCAGTGGAACAGAATAGAGAACCCAGAAATAAAGCCAGATACTTACAGCCAACTGATCTTAAACAAAGCAAACAAAAACATAAAGTAGGGAAAGGACACCCTATTCAACAAATGGTGCTGGGATGATTGGCAAGTCACATGTAGAATGAAACTGGATCCCCATCTCTCACTTTATACAAAAATCAACTCAAGATGGATCAAAGACTTAAATCTAAGACCTGAAACCATAAAAATTCTAGAAGATAACATCAGAAAAACTCTTCTAGACATTGGCTTAGGCAAAGAGTTCATGACCAAGAACCCAAAAGCGAATGCAACAAAGAAAAAACAAGTAGATGGGACCTAATTAAACTAAAAAGCTTCTGCACAGCAAAAGAAATAATCAGAATAAACAGACAACCCACAGAGTAGGAGAAAATATTCACAAACTATGTATCCAACAAAGGACTAATAACCAGATCTACAAGGAATTCAAACAAATCAGTAAGAAAAAAAACAAATAATCCCATCAAAAATTGCGCAAAGGACATGAAAATTCTCAAAAGAAGATATATGAATAGCCAATGATGAAAAAATCCCCAACATCACTGATTGTCAGGAAAATATAAATTAAAACCACAATGAGATACCACCTCACTCCTGCAAGAATGGCCATCATTAAAAAAAAAAAAAAAAAAAAAAAAGATATTAACATGGATGTTGTCAAAGGGAACTTTTAAACTGCTGGTGTGAATGTAAACCAGTACAACCACTATAGAAAACAGTATGGAGATTCCTTAAAAAACTAAAAGTAAAACTACCATTTGATTCAGCAGTCCTTCTACTTGGTATCTGCCCAGAGGAAAAGAAGTCATTACATGAAAAAGACACTTGCACACGCATGTTTATAGCAACACAATTTGCAATTGCAAAAATATGGAACCAGCCTAAATGCCCATCAACCAACACCTTGATAAGGAAAATGTGGTATATTTATACCGTGGACTACTACTCAGCCACAAAAAGGAATAAAATAATGGCATTTGCAGCAATGTGGATGGAGCTGGAGACCATTTTTCTAAGTGAAGTAACTCAGGAATGGAAAACCAAATATCATATGTTTTCACTTACAAGTGGGAACTAAGCTATGAGGATGTAAAGGCATAAGAACGATATAATGGATTTTGGGGACTCAGGGAAGGATAGGAGGGGATTGAGGCATAAAAAACTACACATTGGGTACACTGTACACTGCTCACGTGGGAAGCGCACCAAAATTTCAGAAATCACCACCAAATAACTTATCCATGTAACCCAAACCATCTGTTCCCCAAAAACTATTGAAAAAAAAAATGTTAGTAATCACACTTGTAATCCCAGCACTTTGGGATACTGAGGCAGGAGCATTGTTCAAGGCCAGGAGTTTGACACCAGCTTGGGCAATATAGTGAGACCCCTGGCTCCCTGTGCATATATTTTAAAAAACAAAGGTATACATGGTACTTGCAAGACAAACAAAAACAAAATGTAACAAAAAAATGAAAACACCAAGTACATATGAAACAGAACAGAGAGCCCATAAATGAACCCAGGTATGCACATGGTCAACTGCTTTTCCACAAAGATGCCAAGAATATACAATGGGAAAAGAATAGTCTCTTCAATAAATGGTGATAGGAAAACTAGATACTCACATGCAGAATGAAATTGGACCTTTGTCTTACCTATATGCAAAAATCAACTCAAAAATAGATTAAGGCCTTAAATGTAAGACCAAAAACTGTAACACTACTAAAGGAAACATAATGGAAAAACTGCCAATTGAAACCACAATATGATGTCATCTTACACCTGTCACAATGGCTATCATAACAAAGACAAAAGATAACAGATGTGGGCAAGGATATGGAGAAAAGGGAACCCATATACACTGTTAAGAATGTAAATTAGCACAGCCATTAAGGAAAACTGAAGTTCTTCAAAAAACTAAATATAGAATTACCATATGATCCAGCAATCCCACTTCTGGGAATTCAACCCAAAGATTTGAAATCAGTGTGTCGAAGAGATGTTTGCAGCCCCAAGTTCACCGTAGCACTATATTCACAATAGCCAAGTTACGGAATCAACCTAAGGTCTGCTCTATCAGCAGATGAATGGCTAAAGAAAATGTGGAAAATGGGGTATATACATACAATGGAATACTATTCAGCCTTTAAAAAAGACATTCTGTCATTTGTGACAACATGGATGAAACTGAAGGACATTTTGCTAAGTAAACCAGGCACAGAAAGACAAATACGGCACATTATTTACTTGTATGTGGAATCTAAAACAAACTCACAGAATCAGAGTGTAGAACGATGGTTACAAAGGCTGAGCGCTGAGGGGTATGGGAAGATGATGGTCAAAGGGTATGAAATATGGCAGAAGGAATTTCTTTTTAGTTCTATTGCACAGCATGGTAAATATAGTTAATAATAGTATTATACATTTCAAAACTAAATTTAAATGTTCTAATCACAAAAAATGTTAAGTATTTGAGGTGATGGATGTTAACTAGCTTAATTACTCCATATTATACTCATAAATCATAACACCACTTTGGACCCCCACATACAATGATAAATTGTCAATTTTGAGTTAAAAAAAATGCAGCAAAGAGGCATTTTGTGGAGGGAAAGACTAAACCTCGGAGCAGCAAAGCAACTAATTCATGGTTCCCCAGGGTTTAAGACAGAGTCATGAGCCTTGTCCAGGTGTAGGTCTCTACAGGATTCCCATCATGCTTCCAAGCTTGACTTGAGTCTGGGTGATAATGACAGGCTCTGCAGGATCTGGAAGCCAGTACAGACTTTCCTCAGCACATTTGAGAGCAGGGTGTAGGGCTCATAATTTATAATCATACTTGTGTGTATACGTGCTTGTGTGTATACGTAAGCCCTTGGTAACTACATATCAAGGGCTTTTTTCTTTGCGTAAACACAGTGTATGCTGTAGAAAACAAAGTGCTGTAGTAATTTGATGAACAGAAAATTCTACAGGCAAATAAGGTGGGAAATACTGCATATTATACCCACACTGCCAACATTCTTGGTGCACCAGGGAACACATTTGCATATTAAGGACTGAATGGTCCCATAATAAAGAGACACCTTTAGGTTAGTTCAATCTAGTGATTCCCAGATTTATTTGGTTATGACCATCTATTCCCCCAGTAGTCCTCACCAATATTCTGTGGAACGAATCTGTTTATTTGCAGAACACACTTTTGAAAAGGGTTATTCTGGATATCTATAAAGTGTTTTAAATACGGTACATTTTAATGAGGTTATATACCAAAATAGCATAAACACCAACAATGACAGAAACATCCAGGATGCAACTTGTGAAAGTAAAAATTTTTATTTTGATTGATTTCTCAATGTATAGTTCAGTATAATGCCAGTTTTTAATGGCAAAGATTTGGTTCCACTGAAACTCCATAATGCTACAGAGAGCTACTACTTTTTCCAGGAAGTAGGTAAACAGCTGGAAAGAAAAAGGACAACTTCCTAGCAGCATGGCAACTTAAACTGCAGATCTAATAGGTCTGCAACTTTTACACTAAAAATGGCACAAACAGCCGGTGACACAAGTGAGAAATGGGGAACAAGATGTGAACACTGAAAGGAACAATATATATACTGCAAATACAATGAATAAACCAAATGTAGCTATACGGATCTTAAAGGATAATTATAGAAAAGGGAACCAAATATTTTCCTCAAATGCTTTTTAGAGCCTTTCTGTAGAGATACAAATATATATATATATATTTATCCAAAAATATGTTTTATACAGATAAATGTTTCTCAATTAAAGATGGGACCAAAGCTATAGGTATAACATAAAGCACATTGTCTTTTGTAAGACTATTTATCCACCTGAATTTTCAATTTCTTTAAAGTTAGTGCATTAAATGTTTTCCAAATATAATTACCTGACATTCTTTTTATAGATATAAATCAAGTAGGCATTATGTTTTAAAAGGGTTTGCAGGTTAAACTTTTCTAAGATGCTGTGCATATTAAACTTATTATGAGCCCCATTAAGAATCATTATTAATAAACATATCAAAAAGGGCTATATAAGTCCGATTTTCCTGTTCATAGTAAATATTTTCTGATTTCCAGGTTACAAGTATTGAAAATGCACAAGAAAGATTTTACTTCACAAGCACTTTTAAGAATATACTTTGATTTAATATGTATGTCAATAAAACTCCACATGTTGTAACCATTATGTTTTTGTTTTTAAAATGGGGATGTAATACTAATAACCACTACCTATAAAATGAAGCACACAATTGTTTTGGCGATTTTACAAATCTTTTTTTCCAGGTGTAAAGGTTACAAAAATTCCTAAAAATTAGAGAACACTGAAAACATATTAAAGTTTGACATCCAACTTTATAGTAGTTCCATTTTACCCTGAAAGATAACTTAAAAAATATGGCCTTCTTAGAACAGGCCACTCTGCTATTATAAAAAATTGGTGACAGCAAGAAATTGTATCACTGATATGTGGAATTTTTGTAAATAGTTTTCTCTCCAAATCATTAGAAAAATGTTCAAAAATAAAAACAAAATAAAATATGGTGGTGGTCCCTAAACTATTTTGAAGGCAGGTAGCTTAGTCTAAGCTAAAATATTTTTTTCATTCATAGCAATAATCCTCCCCTCAAATGCCCATTAAAAAAATGCATGAAACAGTACAACAGCAAAAATCAAAGAGCACAGACTGTATTTTCAAGAACAGAAAAATCTCTAATGCTGAAAGATATAGTAGAAAGCAGATTTCTTTGGGGACATTAATCAATTAGTTTATAATTCATTATGAAGATTTTTCTTTTCTATTCCGGGGAGAGTCTGCTACATTTGAAGTTAATGTTCCATTTACACCATTTTCTGCAAAAAGAAAAGAATCTGTGTTACTTTTATAAATAAATGCAAGTAATAATCTTTATATGTAAACATACCTTCAGAAAAGAAAATGTAAAATCCAATATATACTCAGGTGAAATTTATTTACCAGTATTTAACCAATCACAAAACCTGGTTAACATGTTTAACACAATGAACTGAAAGTAGCAAATTCAAAGAAAACTACTATTAAAAGCAGAAAAAAGTGACAGGACAGAAAACTATTTAAAAAGTTACAAGAATTTAAAAATAGTAATCAAGAGAAATACCTTCTGTAGAAATAAACTTTTCACATCTGACGGCAAAGTCCTTGGGGATATTTGTTTACAACATGCTAAAGTTGGCGTTTAGGATAATTCCCATGTGGAGGGGTGTATTACGGCCTTCTTTTTATTTATTTATGTTACTGTTGTTTTTTCAGACAGGGTCTCACTCTGTCACCAAGGCTGGAGTGCAGTGGCATGATCATGGCTCAATGTAGTCTTGAACTCCTGGGGACAAGTGATGCTCCCACCTCAGCTTCCCAAATAGCTGGGACTACAGACATGTGCCACCACATCTGGCTAATGTAATGGCCTTCTTCAAGCTACGATGGAGTAACAAATGTCTCACTGACTCTCTCCAAAAATGTAAGAGTTGCATACAGAAATGGATGTTTGAGGCAGGGATAATGGCTTGCACCTATAATCACAGCACAAGTGGAATCCAAGCACAGATATCATTGAACTGAATAACAATGAAAAAGACATAATGAAACCTGTGAAATACGGACTGGGCACAGTAGATCACGCCTGTAATCCCAGCACTTTGGGAGGTTGAGGTGGGCGGCACCTGAGGTCAGGAGTTCAAGATCAGCCTGGCCAACGTGGTGAAACGCCATCTCTACTAAAAATACAAAAATTAGCTGGGTGTGGTGGTGGGTGCCTGTAATCCTGGCTACCTGGGAGGCAGGAGAATCACTTGAGCCCAGGAGGCGAAGGCTGCAGTGAGCTGAGATCCCGTCACTGCACTCCAGCCTGGCAATAGAGCTAGACTCCATCTCAAAAAAACAAAACAAAACAAAACAAAAAACTTGTGAAATACTGTTAAAGTGGTGTTGAAAAGTTTACCCTTAACTGAATGTAATTGATAAGAGATACAAATTAGTGCTCCAAAGATCCAGCTCAAGAAGGTAAATCACAAACAAAACTGCAAATTAAACCCAATGAAAAGGAAAGAAGAATAGAAATCAATGATCCAGAAAAGACACAACTAGGAAAATCAACACAAAAAGACAAATGTTGGTTTTGCCTGATGGAAGAAAAGATAAAAGGCTTACGTTACTAACACAAGAAATGAAAAACAGGAATCACTCCTCATTTACAGGCGTTAACAGGATAATTAAGTTCATATGAATAATTTTATGCCAATGTATTTGCAAATTTATTATGAACTAGACAAATTCCTTGAAAAACACTATTTACCAAAAGAGAAACAACTAAGAAACAGAAAATGTGAATAATAGTATCATCTTTTTTTTTTTTTTTTTCTGAGACAGGGTCTCACTCTGTTATCCCAGCTGGAGTCCAGCAACATCATCTCCACCCACTGCAACCTCCACCTCTCAGTGATGGCAGCAGCAGCCCGTATGGAGTGGCTATCGCCATGACATTGGCTGTAGGGTGGGAGGTGCAGCCAGGGCTGCATGCTTCACATAGCTAGCAGGAGACCCATCCCTTTCAGAGTTGGAGGGGTGGGAGCCCTGCACTCCTGGGCGCAGCTGCAGCCACCCAGCCGTAGCCGTTGGGGGCCCGGGAAGCCCCACTGCCTCTGCAGGCTTGGAAGTGCCTGCTTCCGCTGCCTGGCCACTCTGCAACTCCTGGCATCCACTACTATTTTGGAGTGAAGGTGAGACTGACCATGGGATTAGAGCAGCACTGATATGCCAGCTCCTTGCTCCCTTGGCCATCGTGACGGTGAGTGCTGACAAGCATGAGAGGGAGGCCGAGGGGGGCTGAGGGCAGCTTGGTGTGGGCCTGCAGGCATCTCTTGGAATGACCAGCCTAGGCACCATGGATGGTAGGTTGATGGCAGCAGGAGGCAGAGAGCTTCCTTGGCAGAAAGGCGTGGGCCCCTGGTGAAGCCCCCCTCTTCAAGCCAGGGACGGCCTGAAACCTGGGGGCCCGGCCGCCAGTTCCATGGACTGGAGTGAGAACTTATAGTGCTTTTTCTGGGCCTGCCCATGGACCAATCATTATGCACTTCCTTCTCCCTGAAGCTTATAAAAATCCTGGACTCAGCCAGACTTGGGCAGATGATGAGACTGTGGATAGGAGCTAACCATGAGGGCTGCACAGATGATGAGATGACCTGCCTGTGGAAAGGAGCTAACCAGATCTCCTAAGAACTGTTTCGCCTCTCAATGAACCTCCTCTCTGCCTTGCTCACCTTCCAGTTGCCTGCGTACCTCATTCTTCCTGGATGTAGGACAAGAACTTGGGACCTGTTGAATGGCGGGACTAAAAGGGCTGTAGCACAAACAAGGCTGAAACATGCCCCCCTGCTCACCACACTGCGCATGACAAGAAACAGAGAAGAGCTGTGGTCCTTTGGGAAGCCCAGATCTAGGGGCTCCCTGAGGCAGTGCTGTGACACCCTCTTTGGGGTTCTGTGGTTCTGGCCACCTCCAAACTCTGGGGATACCACCGCGTTCCTCTTGTCCAGTCATGGATGCCTGCAGTGGAAGCCACATGCAGTACATCTGGTCCAGCTGCAGCCTCACACAGAGCCAGCACCTGTGCTGGTGCCTAGAGCTGCCTGCCCCGCAGCAGAAGCCTGTGTGCCTGGCTGTGCGCAGTGGCTAGACCTTGTGTGTGCTTGCCCACACACTCCCTCTTGCTCCGCCCCTGGCTCATGCTTGGCAGGTGTGGGATCTGGGCCGGCAGCTCAAGTCAAGCACAGCCTGTCAGGCTGAGTGGGTGGAATGAGCCCAGCGGGTGTAAGCAATACTCAGGCAGAAGGCACCACCAGTCATAGAGGTTTCCAGCTGCTGAAGTGACACCTCAAGGGTGACATTAGGATCAAGGGATCCTCCCACCTCAGCCTCCCAAGTACTGGGACTACAGGCGTGCACCACCATTCCTGGTTCATTTTTGTATTTTTTTGTAAAGATGGAGTTTCGCCATGTTGCCCAGGTTGGTCTTGAACTCCTGGGCTCAAGCGATCCACCCACCTCAGCCTCCCAAAGTGCTGGGTGCCCAGCCAATTGGTTGAGTCTGGTGGGCAGATCACTTCGGTATAGGAGTTTGAGACTATCCTGGGTGACATGGTGAAATCCCATCTCTACAAAAAACACAAAAACTAGTGGTGTGGTGACATGTGCCTGTAGCCCCAGCTACTCAGGAGGTTGAGGTGGGAGGATTGCTTAAGTCCACAAAGTTGAGGCTGCAGTGAGCCAAGATCATGCCACTGCACTCCAGTCTGGGTGACAGAGCAAGGCCCTGTTTCGGAAAAAAAGACGACTCTAGGTCAGAGGGCTTAGTTGGTGAACACTTCCAAACACTTAGATGCAAAAATCCTAATGAAATAATGAAAAAGGGAATTCTGCAAAAGTGATGTACAATGGTCTCCCCTTATTTGCAGTGTTGCTTTCCATGTTTCAGTTACCCACAGTCAACCATGGTCTGAAAATAGGTGAGTACTATATAATATTTTGAGAGAGAAAAATACCACATTCAATTAACTTTTGCTACAATATGCTGTTATATGTGACTAATTTATAAATAAAACTTTATCATAGCTGTATTAGGAGAAAACATAGTATATAGAGTCATACACCACTTAACAGGCTATGTTTTAAGAAATGTGTCAGGCAATTTCATCATTGTGTGAACATCACAGAATGTACTTCCACAAATCTAGATGGTAGAGCCTACCACACACCCAGGCTATATGTTATAGCCTATTGCTCCTAGGCTAAAAACCTGCACAGCATGTTCCTGTGTGGAATATTGTAGGCAACTGTAATACAGTGGTAACTATGTATGCATCTAAACATATCTAAACATAGAAATGGTGTAGGAGAAATACAGTATAATTTTATAGGACCAGTGTCATAAATGAGTCATGTATGCACATATATTGTATAGCTGTTGACTGAAATGTCATTATTTAGCACATGACTATATAGAGTTTGATACCACCCCTGGATTCAGGCATCCATTGGAGGTTTTGGAATGTATTCCCCCAGGGAGACTACTGTATTATCACCAACTTGGATGCATGTCAGAAATGCAAAATTATTTTAACATTGATAGTCAATGCAATTCACAACATTAACAGAATAAAGAAAAACTCTATGACTAAATGTTGCAGAAAAAGCATTTCTTAACATTCTACAAGTCATGGACACAAACTCTTAGTAAAAAATATAATACAAGAGAACTGAGTAAAGGGCATCTACAAAACATTCTTAATAATGAACTACCGAAAGGTCTCCCTCTTATATGAGGAACAAGAGTATTCATTTCTTGTATTCAATATTATGGTATAGTCCTAGCTAGTGTAATACAGGAAGAAAATGAAAAGGTATAATATTTATAGATGATATAACTGTATATTTTAGTGTAAACTTTAAGTGAATTAGGAAGATTTTTTCAGTACATGGATAGTATCTTAAAGAAAACAAATGGCATTACTACGTAACAAATAGTTAAAATTGTTTTTTAAAAAAAGCATGTACATTAGCTTAAAAAAGAAAATATCTGAGAATGAGTTTAATGAAAAATGTATGAGATTCCTATACAGACACCTATAAAATATCTCCTTCAACAACTCTTCCACTGTTTCTTGGCATTTTGGCTAAGATCAAGTGAAGACCTCTTCCAAAAAACAGAAAAGGAAAAAACACTGCCCAGTTCGTTCTATGAAGCCAGTATTATCTTGATACTAAAACCAGACAAGGATGTTACAAGAAAAATACACACCAGTATCTTTTATGAATACAGACATAAAAAAACCTCAACAAAATACTTGCATACCAAATCCATCAAGAGATAAAAAGGATCATACACCATAACCAAGTGAAATTTATCCCAGGAATGTAACATTTGTTTAACATCTGAAAAGCAATGTAATCTATAATACCAACAGAAAAAATTAAGAAAACCCCACGAGGTTATCTTAATAGATGCAGGAAAAAAAGCAGCTGACAAAATCTAACAACCTTCCATGATAAAAATAAACAAACCAGGAATCAGAGGGGAACTTCCTCAACCTGATAAAGGTCATTTATGAAAAACCCATAGCTAACATCATACTTAATGGTAAAAGACTGGACGGATGTCTACCCCTAAGATCAAAAACAAGACAAGGATGTCTGCTCTATTTCTGTTCAACACGTGAGGTTCTAGACAGGGCAATTTGGCAAGAAAATGCAACAGAAAACATCCAGACTGCCCACCAAAAAGCAAAAAACAAAAACCTATTTGAATAAATAAATTCAGCAAGGTTGCAGGATACAAGATCAATATACAAAAGTGAATTGTATTTCATATACACTGGCAATGAAGAATCTGAAAATGGAATTAAGAAGATGGTTCTATTTTACAACAGCATCCAAAAGAATAGGGTTAAATTTAACGAACTGCAAGATGTATACACTGATAACTATAATTGAAAGAGATTAAAGATCTAAGTAAACAGACATTCATGTTCATACTCTGCATATCAACCTACAGATTGAAGGTAATCCATACCAAAACCCCAGCTGGCTTTTTTGCAGAAACTGACAAGCTCATTATAAAATTCATATTAAAATGGCTGGGTAAGGTGGCATGTGCCTATAGTCCCAGCAACTTGGGAGGCTGAGATGGGAGAATCCCTTGAGCCTAAGCGTTCAAGTCTAGCCTGGGCAAAACAGCAAGATCTTGTCACTTAAATAAAAACTCATATGGAAATGTAAGAAACCCAGAATAACCAAAACATCGTGAAAAAGAACAACATTGGGGACTCACATTACCTGCTTTCAAAACTTACTACAAAGCTACAGTAATCAAGAGAGTGTGGTATTGGCATAAGAATCGATCTACCAATAAATGCAATAGAATTCATGATCCAGAAATAAACTTTTTTTAATAATGATTTTTGAAAAGGGTATCAAGACAGTTCAATAGTGAAGGAGTCTTTTTAACAAATGGCACAAGGACAACTGAATATCAGGATGTTAAACTGAGTGTAAAAATAGTATAGCCACTTCAAAGAACAGTTTGGCAGTTCCCTTAAAATGTTAAACATAGTTACAGCATGACTTGGAAATTCCATTCCTATGCATGTACCCAAGAGAATGAAAACACATGTTCGAACAAAAACTTGCACCTAAATGTTCACAGCATCATTATTAATAATAGCCAAAAAGTAAAAGGCACTCAAATGTCCATCAAATGATGAATGGATAAACAAAATATGGTATATATCCATACAATAAGGTTCCACACAATGGAATATTATTTGGCTGTAAAAACAAATGAAGTCTTTATATATGCTATGACATGAATGAACCTCAAAACATTATCTAATTGCAAAAGACCACATATCACATGGTTCTGTTTACATGAAATGTCCAGAAAAGGCCAATCCTTAGAGACAGAAAATAGATTAGAGAGTACCGGAGCAGAACGAAGGGGGAAATGTGAAGTGATGCTAATGGGCATGGGGTGATAAAAATATTTAGCAGTGATAAAAATATTCTGGAATTAGATAGTGGTTTGTACAATTTTGTGAACATCTGTTAAAAATGACTGAAATGTATACTTTAAAGGGTAAACCTTATTGTATGTGAATTACATCCTATTAAAGCTATTAAAAATATTACTTGGAGAAATGAAAGACAACCTAAATAAACAGAGGTATATATCAGGTTGAAATAGTCAGTTATCCCTAAATTGATCTATAGATGTGATGTTATTTCAACTCTATCCCAGCAATTTTTGTGGAAATTGACCAGGTTGTACAATTTTTTTTTTTTTTTTTTCTAAAGAGGCACTATGTTGCCCAGGCTGGAGTGCAGTAGCTCTTCACAGGCACGATCATTGTGCACTGCAACCCTGAACTCTGGGTTCGAGTGATCCTCCTGCCTCAGCCTCCTGAATAGCTGGACTACAGGCACCCCCCACTGCACCCAGCTCAAATTGTACTAAAATGTATTAAGAAAATGCAAAGGGCCAAGACTTGCTGGGACAAACGTGAAAAAAAAAAAAAAAAACCAGGCTGGAGGATGTAAATTATCAGGTATTAATACTTAGAAAAGAGTAAACCAGAGTGGACGTATTCTAAAAACTGGAACTTCCTGTGTTACAGCTCTAAGCATAATATCATATACACACTGAAAAAATTAACTGTAGTATCAATGCATTTTCAATTTTTGCAAAAGCCATAAAGAGAAAACAGGTTAAATGAAGGCTTAAAGACAAAGAACCAAGCAATCAAAAGTTATATAAAAAAAAAAAAAGCTATTCCACTTGGGACAAATGGGCAGATGGGAAGAGGTTGTGAACAGCTTTTTAAAATGTGAATAAGATGCTTGAAAACAAACGACCATCCTCTAGTTTAGTTATTCACTAAACCTGTCCATAAAGTTTGGTGTAAAGTGGCTCAAAGGTAACCAAGAAGGGAAAACTTGTCAAAGAGAAATTTAGTGGACAGTTTTTGAGGGGAGTAACTGAGTTTCCTCATCCAAGGGATCACCCAATTGTGGAATGCAGTAAGATTACTTTGCCTCTAATTTTGTTAAAAAGCAGAATAATATTTTCTTTATAAGACCTTCAAACTAATAAATAAGATCCCACAACAAATTTTTAAAAAGTTTTCTACTTCTATGAGTTTTTCATTGCTTACTAAATACAAACCTGTTCCTTTTTTAGAAGATCTGCCTTTAGTTACTGTTGGTTTCTTCTTCACAGCTGGTGCCTGAAAAGCAGAATGTTCCCTCCACCTCCGAAGCTGAAAATTAATGAACTTCCACATCATGAATGCTTGAGTAATGCAAATGGATGCCAGAACAGCAATTCTAAGAAATATTAAGAAATCAAAAGTTACAGTGTATAAAAAACAATGCCACTGAATACATTCTATCTTCTTTAATAGTATTTAGTAATAATTTTGAGAAAATTGTATTATCAGTGCATTAATAATTTATCCTAAAAGTTAAATGCTTTAGTACTTCACTTTAGACATGTAAAATAGCAAAAGGTATGAAATAAAATCAAATGAGTATTTTCCCCAACCTCATATTCATCCTTTTTTTAGATGATTCAACATAGAGAAACTGATAATATATATTATCTAGCTGTATAAAGTGAAAAAAAAGTTAAATTGATTATACCTAACAGCCAACACATTGAAGTTTCCAGTACTGAAATCCAGCTTCTGATTCTCTGCTCTTGCAAGGCCAAAACCAACAGTCAGTACTGAAAGAATTAAAGTCAGAAGTCTTCCAAAAACAAAAAGAACTGCCCACAGAGAAAATCTGCAAGAAAAAGACTGTAAGTCAAATTCCTGAAATCTCAAAAACAAGATTCTATTAGAAATTAGATTCCTAAGTCAGGCGTGGTGGCAGACGCCTGTAATCCCAGCTACTTGGGGGGCTGAGGCAGGAGAATCGCTTGAAACCGGAAGGTGGAAGTTGCAGTGAGCCGAGATCGTGCAACTGCACTCCAGCCTGGGCAACAACAGCGAAACTCCCTCTCAAAATAAATAAATAAATAAAAAGAAACTAGATTCCTATTAAGTAACGGCATATTAAAATAGCATTTCTTATTCTGCAAAAAAGAATTTTGTGTCAAATATCTGGGAAAGCCTATATACCACACTCAAAGAGATATAACACATACTAGCCTATTTAAATTTCTAAAAAAATCCAGTAAATAAATGTTTAATTTTCTGTTTAGCTTATCTCTTTTCTTGTATAAGAACTATTAATGTTCCTCAGAACTACTAGTATTCAGAATAATTTTGGAAAATGTTGGACAAAACAAACCAAAAAAGCTGTGTTATAAAGAACAGGATGCCTAATTCTCAATTAAGAGTCCCAGTTTTACTTTTTTTAAGACAACTTTGCACTAATTACAAGTTATACCTCTCCAATTCTGTTTTCAGTTCAATTTCCCCATCAATATATTTTAGTTATCTATAAGGCTAATTATCTATTGTTTCATTTTCTTTTGAGAGTTCACTTCTCTATCACTCCTCCAAAAGAAAAACGATTCAATAAACAAAGTAGAAGTTATAACAGAAAAGTAAACCCACAAAGTCTTCAAAATTGCAAGATATAATTCAGTATCTCTCTAGCTGAGAAAGGCTCCATTTTAGAGAGTAAAATACAAAGTCTGAATAGAGAAATAATTTCATTTTATTTAAAGTGGCTACTAATCGCTTAAAAAGTAATATAATGGCCAAAAGCCATGGATCTTGGCAATGTCAGGCAATGACTTTAAATACTTACTACACGAGAAATAGAATGGCTAAACAACTTACCCTTTCTGATACTTTTCATTGCTAAAATAAAACAGGCGAGAAATGTGGAAAAGAAATTCAACAAAATAATGTAGCACCAGAAGAACAAGTCCTAGATGATTCAAGCTGTTAAAAGAGGAAATTGAAAATGCGAAGATTAATTACCAATTAAGACAGGTCAGCATACTATCTGCCCAGCCTACTTACACACCCATGAAATATCCCAACTCACTTCAAAAGGTAAGCTCCAGCAATGTGGAAGAGGTAAAGACCAATGTAGACAAGCTGACGAGGAATATCCTCCTGTAAAAAAATACATTATAGATTAAAACATGCTAAAACATTCCTTTCCTTTTTTTAAGAGGTGGGGTCTTGCTACGTTGCCCAGGCTGGTCTCAAACCCTTGGACTCAAGAGATCTCCCAACTTTGGCCTTCCAAAGGGTTAGGATTTCAGGTGTGACCCACTGTGCTTGGCTCATTTCTGCTCTTTAAGAATAAGTGAAAAATGCAGAAGTAGGAGATCTGAAAGCTATTCTGCCCTCACCCCACCCCAATCTCTCATCCTCAATTAGGTATATAGCATTAGTAAGTCACTTAACCTCTGCTGGCTTCAGTTATTTCATCCATAAAATGTGAATACTTAGATTTGCTTCAATCAGATAAACTCAAAATCCCCTTTAGAGCTAAGATCTACGGCTCTTGTTTCTAATGAACATGTATTAAATGACACAATATTAACCATAGTTACATGCTGACAATTTGATGTTCCTCTAATATTAAAATTGTTATGTTTATAGTAGTAGAGACACTTTTGTCTACCTAAAACAGCATTCACATTTTCAGCTCATGCTTTAGTCCCTTGTCAGTCAACACAAGTTTAACATTTTTTATTCTCATTTATACTACTCCTTAATTGTATATTATTTTTCCTCAATTACTTCGTAAGCCCAAGTACCTAGATTTTATTTTTACTTCTTTTTTTCTCCCACAGTTATCTAGCTGAGCTGGTTATCTCAGAAACAGTATTTTTAGAAAACACAAGTCAAGACCCACTAGTGGGGCCAGGTGTGATGGTTCATGCCCGTAATCCCAGCACTCTGGGAGGCCGAGGTGCGAGGATCACTTGAGACCAGGAGTTTGAGATCAACCTGGGCAGTACAGCAAGACCCCGTCTCTACAAAAACTACAATTAGCTGGGTGTGATGGTCCCAGCTACTCAGGAGGCAGACATGGGAGGAGCATCACTTGAACACAGGAGTTCAAGGTACAGTAAGCTATGATCATGTCACTATACTCCAGCTTGGGTGACAGAGCAAGATTCTGTCTCTTAAAAAAAGACCTACTAGTGGATCATGAAATCAATTTTGGGGTCACACCAGCATCTTTTAAAACATGAAATAAAATAGAAAATGTGACCAGGCACCGTGACTCACACTTCTCATCCCAGCACTTTGGGAGGCTGAGACAGGAGGATTGTTTGAAGCTGGGAGTTTGAGTCTAGCCTGGGCAACATAGAGAGACCCCACCTCTACAATTTTTTTTTTTTTTTTAATTAGCCAGGCATGGTGGCATGTGCCTGTAGTCCTAGCTACTTGGGGAGCTGAGGCAGAAAGATTGCTTGAGCCCAGGAGTTCAAGGATGCAGTGATTTAGGATTGCATGACTGCGCTCCAGCCTGGGTGGCAGAGCGAGACCCTGTCTCAAAAAAAAAAAAAAGAAAGAAAAAGAAAATGCTAGAGTATATAGCACATTGTATTATGAAAATTCTATTCCACATTTTACACACACACACACATACACACACACACACAAAATGAATTATGATGTAAAAAGCTTTTCATCTTTGGTTGCAGTAAAAATGTTTACAAAACACTGACAGTGATAAGCTCAACAGGCCAGCCTACTGACTGATGAAACACCTATACCTCATTTCTAATTTCCTTTGTTTTCTTCGTATATATATTTACAAGGATTGTATTAGTCTGGTGAGTACTATTCATGTTCTACAGTTACTAATTAGAACGACGGAAATGCTGGGTTGCTGCTGGCAGGCTGAACCGTGTTCTTCTGCAGCCTCACTAAACTTATCTCTTGCATTTAGCATAGTTAGGTTCAGGTCCATTGGTCCTCCATTTCTCTGTGTTTCAGTATAGACAGCGACTTCACCAAATCTTCTGAGGAGGAGAGATTTTTTAAAGTCTACTTTTGAAATGGAAAACTCTTCTCTAGTAAGAATGGCGCAAAGATCAAGCGTTAGGTAGAACATAAGACAGTCTGAATATTACTATTTACAGTACTGTATTTTGGGACTCTTAGCAAAATTGATACCAAGTTTACTGTCATTCTTCCAACTGAAGAGAGACGTATCTCTGAAAGTAGACAGTCTTAAGATCCTCTCTACATAATTTGTAAATTTCCAATGAAATATTTCAGCTTACAAAAGGAAGGAGAAAGGGTGTTGAGATAACACGCAACCACAAGGGAACCTCTTCTCTCCTATTATAATAATTTCAGAAAAGCTCACTTGTAGTATTATCAATGCAATTTGACGTACAATGCATGTAGAAATGCCACTATATATATGCCACTGTTTCCCAGTGTGGTGTGTACATTAGTACTGAACAAAATGATTGTACACAGTACACAATGAAATACTTTTATTTAACTGTAACTAAAATTTTAAATAAAGTATTTTACGCTGAGCATGGTGGATCATGCCGGTAATAACAGCCCTTTGGGAGGCTGATGAAGGTGGATTGCTTGAGCCCAGGAGTTCAAAAACCAGCCTTGGCAACATGGCGAAACCCCATCTCTAAAAAAATACAAAAATTAGCCAAGCATGGTGGTTCATGCCTGTACTTCCAGCCACTCGGGAGGCTGAAGTAGCAGGATTGCTTAAGCCTGGCAGGTTGAGGCTGCAGCTGCAGTGAGCTGTGACTGTGGCCACTGCACTCCAGCATGGGTGACGGAGCAAGACCTTGTCTCAAAACAAAACAAAAACCCAAAATATTTTGTTATTTAATATACCTTAATAATTAAAATGTCAAAAGTATGAATTAGTAGTATGTGAATATGGCAAAGCAGGAAGGTAGCCACATAAATGACTAGGTATGAGAAATATTGCCACATTCTTTCGTATGTGTTACTCAATGCTCCAAATTTCAGAGGAGAAAACAGACCAAGAAAACCCTTAAAACTTATGAGGGGAGCTTTTTAGTTTTTAACTGTTGATTAAACTCATTTCATGGCATAAAAACTTGAGTAAGGCAATGTAAAAAAAAAAAAAAAAAAAAAACTAATTTGCTGGAAAAACCATAATGCAATGTAACTACTTAGGAGGATTTTTTTTTTTAATAATTTAAAAGAAATCCAACTAAGTTTTTAAAATTGACACTGGTCAATTAGCAGAGAACCTAAGCTGCCTACTCCTTTCTTCTCTGACAAGACTAAAAACACTATTACAAATTACAAACAAACTAAGTTTCAAAAAGCCATTCCATTTCTGATCTTTTATCTTTAAATTTCAACCCAATTAGATGAAGCACAGTTGTGCTTGACATTAGCTAAGGACAAATCCATAGAGTTTCTTTCCTAAGTTTAGGTTCAACTTTGTATCTTAGCACTGTACCTTCTTTTTAAAAAATAGAAACATGGTCTCACCATGTTACTCAGGCCGGAGTGCAGTGGCTATTCACAGGTGAATTTATGGTGCACTGTAGCCTCCAACTCCAGGGCTCAAGTGATCCAGCTATTTCAGCCTCCTAACTGGGACTACAGGCACCCACCACTGTGCCTAGGAGCCTTACCTTTCCGATAGCCAACTGAGTCAGTAATAATAGAGGGTAAAATGCCATCACTAGGTTCCATCTTCACAACCATCAAATGCCTATGCAAAAGTTTTAAAAATAGTATCTATTGCTTTCAAAAAGACAGGATTATCAAGAAACCTTTTTCTAAGTAATGGTCCATTCAGCTTTGCACCAACTGACCAGTGTCTCTAAAACAGTGTTTGTACACTCAAAGCCTACCACAGAAAAAGTAAAAATGAGTAAGAGAATGGGTAGTTAAATACTTGTGTCACTTACTAGCCGAGGGACCTTAGGCAAGCTGATTAATCTCTCTGTATAATGGGGATAACAACAACAACAATACCAAAAAAAAAAAAAAAAAAAAAAAAAAAGATGAGTAGAATACCTCAAGGGGTGGTAGGAATTGTGGCTAACTTAACACACACCCTAGATAAAGGTATTCCCAAATGATTACAAAAAATACATGGAAGTAGGGGTAGTGTACCGTGAGTTTTATTTTATTTTTTAGAGACGAGTCTCATTACATTGCCCAGGCTGGTCTCAAACTCCTGGAATCAAGCCATCCCCTTGCCTCAGCCTCCCCAGTAGCCAGGACTACAGGTGTGTGCCACCATGTCTGGCTTACCATGATTTTTAAAATGAGAAATTTTATCTAGAAAATGGCTACTTTTTAGCATCCCTGTGGTAGGCCAGCCTCCTGCAATGTTCTCCATTTCCTCTGGGGTTACAGCCCTGATGGCACGGTGTTCACATGTCTGAGGCCAACAACAAAGCCTTGCCTAGCACCAGCAGCATGGTCTCTGGATGTACACATTTACACGGGTTCTGGGGAAAGGGAGAGAACAGAGAAGGCTGGGAGAAATCATAGCAAATTCTAAAATCGTAAATAACTTCAAGTGCCATTTTCAGTTGTTATTCCAATATCTTTTTATTAAAAAATATAACATACTTTAAAAAATTTATTTAAAAAAAAACACATTTCTTGACTACACTATACTGAAAAATAAACAAAGCTGAATATCACATATATGCCCCAAATATAAGGCAAAGATTTCCCCCCAAACCTCAGATGGTACACCTTGTAATTAAATCTTTACAAAGCTCTTGCATTATAGAGCTCTGTATTAATTATCTTGAACAAATGTTTGTGTAAGACACATACAGCTGAAAACTTCAATCAATGTCATTTTTAAAGGTTTATAAGGTCTAATAAAGGAACCAGTGAGACAGAAGATGATGTTATGATGTGGAAAAAATGTCATCAGATTAAAAAAAGTGGTTCTAGTGATGATGAATGACAGATACTAACATCAAAGTTGCATATGAAAAGTGTAATGCAACTTTCATGAAGTAGGAAGGGGGAAAATACTATTTCTAATACTTTATACGATATGCAATTATATGTACAAATAATTATATGTATGTATAATTAAACTAAAATTGAATATTAGAAACATTTGGCTATTTCATGACTTCCCTAAAAGCTCATATATTCAAGATGTCTAAGAAATATTTTGAATCTTCTCATCGGCAAAAGGGATAACTGTTTATATACACAGTATACATAGGTTTTCTCCTTGGAAGAAACTAAGTTTTTTGTGACTAACACACCTCTTGAACTGCTACTAACAGCGTTCCTTTCTTTCCTATTTGTCTGTACGATTGGTTCAAAACAATCACTGTACTAGTTTCTTCCAGTAAAGAGTTCCAAAAATAATTTTCATAGAGTAAATTTTAAGAAACTGTTTAACACATATGCAGCTGCTACTTTCAAATTATGTTAATTACTTGAAACAGTTACTTTCAACTGTCATATGCAGGTGTTAAAAATAGTTTCAGTTAAGTTCTAAGTTATGCAAATTATTCCATAAAAATTAGATTGCATTTCTGGAGAAGTGCCATCTGGCAGGAACTGATAAGAAAAGAGTTTCAGGAACTAAAATGAACAATTACTTTGAAATGTCCCTCCTTACTTACCATAGTCAGTGAACAAGATATAGACATGGATTAATAATGAAATCCAGAGGTATCTGTTCCTAAGTATACAAATACCTGAAGAAGGCTTTAAATATCTGAGCCATGCTACTAAGACATCAAGAAACTATGATATTCTCAGTAGCGCTGTCCAACGGAACTTTCTGCAATCATGGAAATGTTCCATATCTCCTCTGTTCAAAATGGTACATACTAGCCACAGTAGCTAATAAGCACTTGAAATGTGGCTAGTGGAGACAAAAAGGTCAGTTTCACTTTTCTAAGTTCACGTAGATGTGACTAGTAGTTACCATTCTGGACAGTACAGCTCCACAATACCTACGATTCACATTAGGAGCTTACTAAACATGGAAGGGCTACTGGAATCTGGGTCTAACAATTTTATCTGAAGACAGTTCTAAGTGAAGCGCTTAAAAATAGAAGATCTTCATCCTATTCCTTATGATCAATATAGCTGGAGAAACAATCTACTTTATAAAAGAAATCAGCATAAAAAGAACTTAAGTGCCATAGCATATGGCCTCTAATTTGGTGCTGTTTTCTAATCCTAGCAGACAACACGAATGACGAATGACGACAGATACACAGAACACAGACAAGAAACAGTAGCAAATCAAGTGCCTAGTCCATGAATTAACTATTTGTAGCACACATAAAAATAGTGTTTTATGGCTTTTGAGTAGGCAAAGATAAACTAGTCACCAGACTGGCTGTCACACTTTTACTCCAGAAGATTTGTCAAAGGGGATTTAAAAAAACAAAAAAACATTTTAAATGCGGGAAAATGTAAACATATATACAACAGACAGAAAAGATTCTGACACACCCATAACTCAATCATTATTAATAAACGACCAAACTTGTTTCATCTGTATCCCTCTTTACTTTCCTTCACCTGGTATTATTTTGAAGTAAAATCCCACAAAGGATTTCATATATGAGAATTAAAAAAAAAAACACCAAAAAAAACCTCCCAGAAAAAAGGGAAATGAAAGTACTTGATTAATTTATCCGAGGGAAGAGGTATTCCAGGAAAAAGAAGTGATGTGCTGGGATTACTAAATGTGAGACTATCAGTGTGCACGAAGCATAAGGAGCGAGCAGAGGAAGAGGTCCCAGGAAGACAGTGGCGATGGGAGAAACTCTCAGGGCACAGTTGAGCAGCATTACTCTAGTTTAAAATAATAGGGAGCCAATACTGGCTTCAGAGGAGACAGGGTAAAGAAAATGACTTTTGTGATAGCATGGAAACCTGACTTCAGAAGCACTGAGGGTAAAACTAGGCAGGAGGATTTTGCAGTGCTCCAGCAGTTTACGTATTTGTTCAAATAAAACAAACAAATATCCTTTCAACATGCTAAAAAGGGAATGCTCTACCCATTTCAGGAGAAGCTTTGCTGGTGAATATTTAAATATATTTTACTTTTTTTTCCAATACTGAATTTTGCTTTAGGACTTACACACAGAACTGTTAGTTGTAATGTGACTAATCCTTTTTAGCTCACTTGTGAAATAATTTGCTAAGAATATCAGTAAGATAAAACAAATATTACATTTAAAAATTTGTTTAAATTTTAATTTACATTACCACTAATATAATTTTAAGACAAGACATTAACATATCAAATGTAAAAAAATCTAAGCTAAAGTACTGACTGAAGGTGTTTTTTTTTTTTTCCAAAAAATGCTTAAGGATTTTAGGCTTTGTAGAAAGGGGGTTGGTGGGAGAATGATGGGGTAAGAGTTTAGGTAAGAAGAATGGAGGAAGGGCAAACATGTAAGGAAATACTTAATTTTAGAAAAATTTTTCCAAAAAAAAAAAAAGACAAGACATTTTTTAACACTACAAAATCCCAGCTTACTTTTTTGGTTTTCTGGAAGTAGAGTTCAGGAAAAGCATGAAGCCAGTAAGCCAGCTGTGATATGTAGAAAAACTTCATTTGAAACCTGTACAACACAAGAAAATGAAGAGAATATTTTAAAGCATAATTTTTTTAAAAAAACAGTAAACAAATACTGGAAATCAGGATATACTAAGTAACTATCTTTGTGTTATCATTCCATACAGTATCTGTGCACCTTTAAACAACTCTTCAACAACTGCTTTCCCCATTTCCCTGTGACCGTCCCACCATTGGACAAGATCCCTGGATTAAACAGCAGGCAAAGATACTATCTGCAGAAAGCTATTGACATGTAAGCCAGCAGAGAGGAGTCAGAGCCCCTATTAGTTCATTAATACTGACTAGTATGTCATGTTAGCTACTGAAAACATAACCCACACGTCTACACAGTTTCATCAAGACAAGAAGGGGAAAAAGACTGACACAAAAGCAAAGGCTCATAGGTTAATAATCACCTGAAACTGAAATAATCCCAATTTCAAATACCCTCTTTTTTTTTTTTCTTAGGCAAATGTGGTAACTGTACCTGGTTGGAACATGGAAAAAGCCCCCAAATAAATGGAGGTAGAGCTAGGATTAAAGAGAGTCAGAATAAGGCATACCAGGGCTCTCCAGGAGCTATATCATAATCAGTCTAGACCTAGTACTCTTCTCTTGACATTATATTCCTCTAGCCCTTCTGCTTCCTCTTTATTCTCCCCTCTCCCTCTCCTCCAGAAGTCTAAAACAGAAAACACAAAGCCAATCTAATTTCTCGGCAGTGGGGGTGGAGGGAATACGGTCCCACATAAATACAATATTTACAAAGTTCATTGAACTAATAAAACTTTAGAAATCAGAGTATGATTCAGTAGAGTGGGTATTACTGCTGGACTTAAAATATCCACAGTCACGTTATTCTCTTCTTTCCTTCATATCTTCTCCCTTCTCCAATTCTCACATCACAATGTATTTACTAAATACTGTCTAGGTGACAAGCACCTGCACCGTATCCGGCACAATGAAGTACATAAAATAATTTTTACTGCTACCAAGGCACATATAGTCTCAGTGGCTATGGGCACAATGCAAGACTTACAAAAATGAGACAATTATAGAACAATCAAAACAATATATGGACACTACATAAAACATCTACCAAAATGACAAATTTGGGGATACGAAAGACCAATACAGGCTAAAGTAGCAAGGAAAATTAATATAGAATAGTTGTACTAGAGCTGGGCTCCAAAAATGAATTATTCAGATGTCTTTGTAACCACTGAGCACTTTAACCTAGCAGCACTGTACAAACTAGAGAAATAAACAAAGAAACAATCCCTAACCTCAAGAAGTTTATAATAGAAGAGAGTAAGAAGGGAAGATGTCAAAAGAGACAGAGGGTGTGGAAAAACAAAAGGAGGAAAAGTATAGAGAAGATGGAGTCATAAAAAGGAGAAAGGATAAGTGAAAAGAAAGGAAAAGAAGCGAGTACCAAATTAAGATTATGTTAAAATCAGTTGTCTCAAGTTTACAAAGAAGTTGAAAAGATTAGAATAGAAACATTAAAAAAAGGTACACAGCGTTTTTTTTTTCTTATGGCAGTGGGACTGTCAAAGACATATTTTCATCTATTTTATGCATTTGCCTAAGGTCCTAACGAGAATAACAATGAATTCTGATTAATAGCAACATGACCATGGTTCTTAACAAAGAAAGGGCTGCTAAAAATTACTTACGTCATCAGGTTATGGGGATAAGCCCTCCATAAGATAGTTGGGTCTGAGATGTAGTTTTCCTAAGAAAGAAGATACAAAAATTAACCTGTGAGCATAATGCAAACTTCTTGGAAAATAAGACATTACTTTCATTTCTCAAACATTTACAGTTCCCCACAGTAGGTTGCAAAGAGTCCACTGACGTCAAACTCCTTAGTTGTTTTAGTTATTTTCAATCCAATTTGAGTTGGTTACTTGAGCAAAGTGAAAATCAATGATATAAATGAGATATGGAATCAAGTAAGAAACAATTCCTGGCCCTAAAAAATCTTTCAATCCCGTAGAATAAAAATACACATAGACAAACATAAAACCACCAATAAGAGGCAGAATAGCGACCAGGAGAGAAGAATTTTGTCTTGGGTAATCCGAAGATTTCAGGAAAAGTTTGTAGCATCTGACAGGAGACAAAGGATCAGGGCACTACCGAGTTTTATGGAATTACATCAATAAAATACTGCCCCAATTTTTTTCTTAGATAATCAGATCTATTCAGTGAGAATTACTGTATATGTAAAAAAAAAAAAGATTAAAAAATAAAATCTAAAGTGATTTTTGTAAGAGTATTTTCCCACAGAAGTATAACTTTTATATATTTTTAAAAAAATTTATAATAGTTTTCAAACTAAAATTTACATATTACCTATAAAGTATTATTAAAGCAGTAGAGTAAAATCGAATGAGCAATGGAATAAAAAGCTGAATTTTAATCTACCTCCAACATGAAGTGCTTTACCCTGGAAAACTCCTGTTATTCATCTCTAATACAGTGATTAAAAAGAATTATGTGTCTGACAAACTCAAAAGTATGTAAAGTATGGAACACCATATAAATTTAAGGGATTATTATCACTAACATTAAAGCAAATACTGCCTTTTTCTCATTAGTAATAGTGACATAAGTAAAGGTTTTGATTGCCATAACTGAAAAGTTATAGAACATTTAAGAAGCTTGGAAAATACTGGGGCTGTTTCTAAAGGAGGAAATGACTGTGAACATTACAACTCATGTAACCTAGTAGGAGTATCACTCACATCTTAATGCTTTTTGCTGATACAGAGGTATCTGTAAATCACAACAAGTTATAAAAGTAAGGCTGGGCATGGTGGCTCAGGTCTGTAATCCCAGCACTTTGGGAGGCGGAGGCGGGTGGATCACTAGGTCAGTTCGAGACCATCCTGGCTAACATGGTGAAACCCTGTCTTTACTAAAAATACAAAAATTAGCTGGGCGTGGTGGTGTGTATCTGTAGTCCCAGCTACTTGGGAAGCTGAGGCAGGAGAATCGCTTGAACCCGGGAGGCAGAGGTTGCAGGGAGCCGAGATTGTGCCACTGCACTCCAGCCTGGCGACAGAGCAAGACTCTGTCTCAAAAAAAAAAAAAAAAAAAAAAAAAAGATATAAAAGTAACATTCAGAGTGACTAAAAATGAATAAGCCTTTCTGAAACAGTAAACATAGATTTTTTTCTGTATAAAAAATACCTAAAAGAGATTTATCACTGAAACTCTTAACTTATGCTAATTCATTAGCAGAGTTCCTAATCTTAGATAAGGAAGGAGAACAACAGCCTAAGACGACATACTTAAAAGAGATGAGAATGAATGACATACTTACAGAGATTAGAATGAATGTGCCCCAAACACAGGCAAAAAGGTAGAATGCACTAAGCTGACCAGATTCATTAAACTTGCTGTGTTTCGTTTTGGAGAAGTGCATTCGCCTGTTAATTTTCTAAAAATAAAAACAGCCATTAGTAATTAAGAATAAATTATAAATTATATTTAATATATGACTATCAGATTATGGAGAGCTAGTACTTTATAAGGTATAGATTTCCAAGACTGCATACTTACATCCAACATATACTCTTGAATAACAGCATGAATAATTATTGCCACTAGCATGTAGAAGAAAACTGTAGCCAAATCTTTGATACCATAGTAATAAAGGGACGCTGATTCAGTAGCTTGTTCTTCTGAAGACCAAAAAGGACACAAATACACAAAAATATATATAAGGTTATAAAAACAGCATTAAGTACAAGTTATAGAAACAAAGAAGAATAACCTAATAAAAAAGTTCTATATAAACATCATAAATAACGTGGTCTTGGACATCTTGAGTCTTAGGGGGGCAATGAAAATCAAGACTATCTAGAAATCTAAAGCTTTAGAAATTACTTACAAAGATTTGACACATTAGTCACAGCCACCAAAGACCAAAAAAGAGGGAAGAGGAGGCCACACTCAATAAACTGATACTATCACAGGGGTATAAATTAGGTTGATAAAGTTATACTTAGCCTATTGACCTATTTTTTGCAAAGGGCTTTTGAAACTTTCTACTTCTACTTTCAAACTACACACTAAATTATGATTCTGATGGAAAAGCTGATTTGACCTGTATTTGATTTAGTTTTGATCTATAAGCAGCAGAGATAAAGGCAACTACTAAAGTTGTTTTTAATCCTTACAATTGCTATAATTTTTCAAAAACAAATCTTTATCAAATACTTGTGAACTGATGACACTTATTCTCAAACTTTACGTTTATGGGGAACATATATGTAAAAGAGCTTTATTCTTCTCTCGCAAATTCAAATTTCAAAACAGTATTGTAGTTTTGAGTAACCTGATAACTAAATCACTAAATTAAATATTTTCAAAACTATACATAACTGAACAAAAACCCAACTCAGGGGCTAGGTGCAGTGGCTCAACCGTGTAATCCCCACACTTAGGGAGGCAAGGATTGCTGGAGGCCCAAATTCAAGACTGACCTAGGTAGTACAGTGAGACTCCATCTCTACAGTAAATTGAAAAATTAGCTGGGTATGGTGGTGTGCCCTTGTAGTCCCAGCTCCTGGGGAGGCTGACTCAGGAGGATCATTTCAGCCCAGAAGCCAGAGGCTGCAGTGAGCTATGATCACGCCACAGCACTCCTGCTTAGGCAAATTTGGCAAGCCCCTATCGTCTCTTTAAAATACACACATAAACCACCACCACAACAAAAAAACCCCAACTAAATGGGGTATACTACATTATCTTACATTTTAAACAAAAAACTGTGCAGGTTTACTGCCTAAACCAAAGAATACCCCATCCCTCGCCCATGCTAGTTAATTATATCACTGTATTAAATTACAATCAACTTCTAAGAAACACCTAACTTTTACATAGATTAAGAAATAACATTTTAGAAATAAAACCTAATAGTTTGGATGCTGTTACCAGATAATTCCTAGAGTTTACAAACACATTTTCTGGAATCAAAATAATTGTTAAAAGTAGAGCACAGGCCGGGCGCGGTGGCTCAAGCCAGTAATCCCAGCACTTTGGGAGGCCGAGACGGGCGGATCACGAGTTCAGGAGATCGAGACCATCCTGGCTAACACGGTGAAACCCCGTCTCTACTAAAATACAAAAAAAATTAGCCGGGCGAGGTGGCGGGCGCCTGTACTCCCAGCTACTCGGGAGGCTGAGGCAGGAGAATGGCGTGAACCCGGGAGGCGGGGCTTGCAGTGAGCTGAGATCCGGCCACTGCACTCCAGCCTGGGCAACAGAGCTAGACTCCGTCTCAAAAAAAAAAAAAAAAAAAAAAAAAAAAAAAAAAAAGTAGAGCACAAGAAAAAGTGAAAATAATCTTAGAAGGATTGCTATTACAGGTCCAAAATGTAACTTGCAGAAAAACTAAATCTGCCATTGTGCTTTTAGAAGCCTTGAATGAACAATGACATTTAAACAAATTTTAAAAATATCTTTTCTTATAATTTTCTTAGGAAAAAATCAGAAGGCAGAGAAAGCAAAACAAAATTCTTTTATGGAATTTCAAGTCCATTCACAAACATATATAGTAAACAGAAAACATATATAGGGTAAAGTTAATCAAAAACATCAGATCTTGTATTACAAAATGATCAAAATAACATTCAGTGACATCATGGATGAGATCTCTGACGATTACTTAATGCAGGACCTAGTATTCATGAAAATTTCCAAGTTTGTTCAACTGAATTTCTATTTACGTAGAAAATTATTAGTGTAAATTACCTACCTGTTGCGGGGAGGGTGACATTGTACTGAAGAGTAACGAAAATGATAGAAGCTTTTGCCGTTATCTAGAAAGAAGGAAAAAAAGATCAAGTCAATTTGTGACCCTCTCCCAAATAACAGATCGGGGCAAAAACTTTACAAAATCTGTCCCTAAATCGAAGCACCAACGGCCCTCTAGTTCCTGTGGAACCCTGACAGACACAATGGAAATTACTGATTACCAAGGAGTTAATGTAATTCACCAGAATACTCTTCTGTGGTTTAGGTAAGATTGTGTAATTCATCCTTAACTTTAAGATTTCAAAAGACATTTTCTGCAGTTCCAGAAAACAGTTATTTGACAAATAATGATTCTCTACTCTAGCCCTATACAATGAATAAAAAGTTCCTATTAAGACAAATTTTAAGTATAAATTAATAAAATAAAAGGATGCACAGTTAGCATGAGAAAAGCAGATCAAATATAGTGTCTGTGGTGTGGGTGTGTTAGTATCCCACACACCTAGCATAGTTAAGTGGTCAGTAACTGTTTAACTGACCTGACTGGTAAAAGTAAATTGGTCAGAACAGAAAAATGGAATGCTTACCCAATCTTTACAGGCACCAGGCAAAGTGCTAGACAAAAAAGGAGGAGATGAAGATGGATAAAATAATCCCTAATGACAAGGAGCTCCATTGTGTGAAGAGTATAGGTAAACAAACTGTTATAATACTGTAGAATAAGCGCTAATAGCTTGCACTGTGGGTACTTGGGATAAACAATGAGCTTTGTTGGTTTTTTTTTCTGGGGTAGAATGAAATGAAGGAGTTATGCTTTGCTGGAAAATAGGCGTTCCCTAGGTTCACAAGGGGGGATGAAGAGGACAGTACAGATAGAAGAAACAGAGCATGGCAAGGTCAAGTAGCAGTGAACACGAGGCCAGGCATAGGATGCACATCAGGAAGTGTTAGAAAAGACTAGAAACATTATTGAGTGCTAGAAAGGACCCTGTTTTTTGAGTTAAGTAGTTTAGATTTCATTTTTGCACAACTGGAGAATTTTGAGGATGGGAAAGTTCATTTATGCCTTTTAGAAGGATTGCTGTCTGTGACCTGCTAAGTGGTCTCCCAGGCCCCTTCAGATCCATTCTCCACACTGCAACTAGAATGATTTTCTGATCACGTTATCACATCCCCCTTCCTACCTGTTAAAAATCCTTCACTAGATTCCCATCTTTCTAGGAGAATGTGACCACAGGACTCCATGGTCTGACTCCTCCCTCTGCCTCTGCAGCCTCAATCTCAGACCACTTCCTCCTGCTCCCTTGCCTCCTGCAGCACCTTCTACCACAGGGTCTCTGCACATGCTGTTCTATCTAAAATACGGTTGGAAAATCTTTCCCATCAGATCTCAGCTGTATCACACCTTTTCAAGGAAGTCTCCCTGCCTTCCTAGAGTAGGTCATTTCCTTTGTTAGATTATCTCAGAGAACTGTGTTCCTTTCCTTCAAAACCATACTCTGGCTTGATTATATTAATAATTTCTGTCTCGCCCATTAGAATGTAAGCTCCAATAGAACTGGGACCATGCCTGTTTCCACTCATCACTAGATTTTCAGAGCCCAGCAAGGGGCCTGGTACATATTAGGTAATTAATCAATATCGCTGAATAAATATCAGTTAAAGTACAAACCGGAGTGAGCATGCACCCAAGACTGAAACTTCTGCAAGAGACCACATGAAAGATAATGAGGCCTGAACTAAGACAGTGACTGTGGGATAGAGAGGCACTCAGAAGACAAAATAAGGTTTGGTAAGCTAGAAGAAAGAGTACAAGGTTATTTATTGATACCTACAGCTGAGATTTCTGCGAGATGTGCAGTAAGGCAGCTAAAACCTAAGTCTAGAATTCAGTAGGGAGAATCCAGCTTAAATAAAGATTTGGGAGTCTCTTTTTACAGATAATAGCTAAAGCTGTGAAAATACATAAATCATATATGGGGAGTGCACAGCATTTGTAGAGAAGTAGGACAACATCAGACCTATGGAGAGAACAGGGAAAAAAGCAAAATCTTCAAGTCCCTGAAACTAAGAAAAAATGGTCAGAGAGACAGAAAAAGAAATAAAGAGAGCTTGGAGTCCCAAAAGCCAAAGGGGAAACATTTCTAAAAGGTGTGGTTAATAAAGTCAAAGTTTCAAAACAGACGTGGGAGGAAAGAGAACAACAGACCGGACAATTAAAGAAGTCATCAGTGGTCACGGCTTGAGTGATTCCAACTAAGTAGTGAGAGCAGGAGCTGCATCGCAGTAGATTGAAGAACACAGAGGCACAAAGTGGTATCCAGTAGATGCCAGGTCAAAATTTATGTTGTTTTTAGGATAGGAGAGATTGAGCTTGTGGGGGGGCAACAGTGAAGGCACCAGGGAAAAGGGAGAAGTTAAACACACAGGCTAGAAAGAGAACAATGGATGGAGGCATATGGTAGGGAACAGAATCGTAAGGACTGAGTATTGCACTCTTGAACAACTTTTCCTCTTAGATGGGAAGAAGGCAGTAATGGACGGGACAGATAAGTTCAAAAGACAAGAAAATAAGGAAAACCGCACTTGATAAACTTTTATTTTCCCTGTATGGGAAAAAAGCAATGCCACATATTAAGCATAATGGGGATGTGAATGATGACTATTTAAATAGTTCCCATAGGGAAAGGAGATGGCCAGGGAAAGTAAAAAGATCCCGGATGCGAACGTCTGAGGTTAGAAACCTTTGATTTGCAATATTATCTACCAGCATTAAGTATGACTTTCTCTGGGAATTGAGAGGCATAGAAAAGGCCAATAGTGGAGTAAAGACTGCAGGAAGAAAGGCAAAACAATGACGGGGCTAATCTACTGGAGAAAGGGAAAGGGGGCTACGGTACCACAACAGCTTGGACTAGGTAGAGAACCCACTTATGACTAGAACCAGGGAGGTGAACAAAACGTAGGTTGTAGCTAAACTCTGCTATCCTGGAATTCAGGAAGTGGAAGAAGTCAGGCTTGCATGACAAAGTGCAGGATACGGCCAGTAAAGTGAGTTGCTCAACTGGGTTAGATATGAAGGTCTCTTGAGTTGAAAAGGCTACTGAGGCTACTCTATTAAAATTTGGGTCATTAACAAGGACTCATTAGAGCAGAATGATGACATGAGTCTCCAGGGCAACACTACTTTCTTGTGATTATTTTTAGTAAAGTTGAGTGGTCACTACATTTCATTTAGTTTTGCTATCTTTGTTTAGACTATATATACACACACATAGTCTAAACAATATATATATACACACATTATATATATATAAAAAACTATATATATTCACACACACTCTATCTCTTTTACACACAAATACTCCACATACCTGTTTCCAGTTTGTAATATGAAGTCACCACTGTCACACCCAAGAACACTTTGTTAAAGAGTCCCTTACAGGCCAGGTGTGGTGGCTCACGCCTGTAATCCCGGCACTTTGGGAGGCTGAGGTGCATGGATCACCTGAGGTCAGGAGTTCAAGACCAGCCTGACCAACATGGTGAAACCTCGTCTCTACTAAAAATACAAATACAAAAATTAGCTAAAATACAAAAATTAGCTGGGTGTCGTGGCGGGTGCCTGTAATCCCTGCCACTCGGGAGGCTGAGGCAGGAGAATTGCTTGAACCCAGGAGGCAGAGGGTGCAGCAAGCCGAGATCACGCCATTGCACTCCAGCCTGGGTGACAGAGCGAGGCTCCGTCTCAAAAAGAGTCCTTTACAAACAACAAACGAGATTCTTCAAAGATAAATTTAGCATCAAATTCTAAAAGCAGCAAAAATTAAGATTATCCTTTTAGCCAGGCTTCCAAATAAAATTAAAATTTGGCCTCCAGCTGGTTTAGTATGTGACTTTAAGTAGAAGAAGAGGAAAAAATGTAAACTACACACTCCAAAAAGTTTCAAGTTTAAGCCAGCAGTCATGCTCCCAGCCATTTCCAGGCCTCCTAAGCCTCACACCCTGCTAGCACTGCTTCAGTTAAACTCACACCACAATTAATTAGTAGTAAGATAAGTTAGTTTAGAATATAAATAGGCTACAGAGATATATAATGCACTCAAAAGTAAAAATACCTGAGTTTATGACAGTTTTGAACATTTACAGTATTGCTCTCCAGTTACAAAAATGGAAAAATGAAAAAAGAAATGAGACTTATTCAGATGCATTTTAAATAGGTTACCAGAAACTGAAATGAATTACCTAATTCTATGCTGTACACAATGTCATGAATACAATAACATTTCTTTAATTAAGTGTCACTAGTTGGGGTTTGGTATCTTTGCTTGTTATATAGAGATGTTAACTATTTTGCCCTTGTTTTAGAGGAAGATGTGACTACTACATGGAGTGGATCCCTGAAAAGTAAAGACAATTCTGAATATCAAATTCCACTTTCAGTGGGGCTCAGTGGCACGTGCCTGTACTCTCAGCCATTCAGGTGGCTAAGAGGGGAGGATCACTTGAGCCCAGGAGGTCAAGTTCCAGCCAAGGCAACACAGCGAGACCCTGTCTCAAAAAAAAAAAAAAAAAAAAAAAAAAAAAAAGAGAGAGACCCTTTTGTAGGTCACAAATGTGACGACTGGGGTTTCACACTTATATGTGAGATGTGTCTCTCCCTCAAACTTTGTTATGACCTGAAAACCTTACCTGACATGAAAAGAAAGAAAAAAAGGAAAGAAAAAGAAAAAAATCCCCCAAACCTCGAAAACTGTTTCAAGATGGCTGAAACTGTAAACATCCCCAAAATCTGTATGGCATAAAGAACTTGCAGATTTTGAATATCTTTCCTTTTGAATATATTTCCTTTATACGCTCCTTAAAAGAAATACGTCTCTTGTGAACCCCTAATTTTTCACCCCTCCTCCACATCCTCACTTTCAGAAAGCTTCCCAAGCATCCCTAACATTTTTTGACCATTCAATTTTTCCTAACTCAAATATGAAGCCATTCATTGTATACTATAATTTGAATTATGTGGACAGATACTGACTGTAATAAAACTATGATTCTAAAATTTACACGCCATTTTTGATTAATGTGAAGTTCCCTGGAAATTAAACTCTTACATTACCACCAAACAGACTACTTTGTTAGCCTTTTCAGTATGTATAATCTCTTTAGATGCTAACTAAAGAGATTCCAGGCCCTTCTCTCACATAAAAATGTTTTCTACTTCCCAATTTTGGTGAGTTTTTAAAGAATAATAATAGCTACCACTTATTGCATGCCTCTTGCAAGCCAAGCATTGAACTAGGCTTAATACATATTGGTTAATTTAATTATCAGACTAACCCAATAAGCCCCATTTTGCAGATGAGGAAACTTCAGTTCTGAGCTGCCTTAGGTCAACCAGTTAGCAAGCTGCAGAGCCCTAACTTGAACATGAATCCCTTCAGCTCCAGAATCCATGCTTTTACAGTGTATCTGCATTGCTTCTTCATTTTGGCTAGTAATACAGTATTTCTTTCTTTGTTAATTTCTTTGTCGATTTCACCATAAATCCTCTGACATTTCCTTAATGTATCTGCACAACAGGCTTAACAGTTCTGCAAAAAAAAAAATCAATTTCTCTATTATTCTAGCACAAGTACTGTAATTCTATAATTACGTTAATTTTGAGATTCAGCAGCAATTGTTTTAAAAGTCGAATAGCAAAACTAACCTAGTCTACACATTCCTATATATAGATAACATGCTTTGAAATCCTAACACCTTAACATATGGTAAGAAAAAGGAACAACTCGCAGAAACTTCACTTTTGTGTATCACTTTAATGCTCACTTTTGAATTGACTTAAAAAACCTCTAGTATTTTTGTCTATTTAGATTTTCAAATTTTACAAATTTATATAAAGGTGAAAATCCACTGTTAAAAAAAAATCACTAACATGTGAGGCAAGGTATAGGTGGTGGACTTCCCTAGAAATATAGTAAGAGAATGTAAAATAGTTTATATAAAATTAAAGTTATACTATGTGTCAGAATTTCTGATTTATATTTCATTTCATTCAAAGCACTGCAAATGTACCTTGCAGGTCATGGTACCCCTAAAATATGTTTTTAAAGTCAGGAAATCTTAACATGTGGAGATGGTTTATGACAAGTTACATAAAATTGAATATACTACATATATTAAAGTATCACTTTAAGATCAAAGTAGAAAGTATATATAAGTATCAAATTCAGAAAGTGAATACAAATGTTTAGCGTTGGGTTTTTTTTTTGTTTTGTTTTTTTTTTGGAGACAGGGTCTTGCTCTGTCCTTCAGGCTGGAATGCAGTGGTGAAACCTTGGCTCACTACAGCCTGCACCTCCTGGGCTCAAGTAACTATCCCACCTCAGCCTCCCAGTTGCCACCACAGGTGCGTGCTATCACTCCTGGCTAATTTTTTAAAAATCATTTGTAGAGACAAGCTCTCCCTATGTTGCCTAGGCTGGTCTCGAACTCCTGTACTCCAGTGATTCTCCCACCTTGGCCTCCCAAAGTGTTGGGACTTACAGGCGTGAGCCAGCGCACCAGGCCTAGCACTGTATTTACCTTCACACCATATTATCTGAACCTTGCAAAAAATGGCTGTGAGGAGAACAGTACAGGTGATATTATTTCCTTATAAAGAGCAGAAAAATTGAGACTCAGACTTGGGGCACCCAGGAAGTAGGTGGCACAGCCCAGACTTAAAGCTTGAGAATGTTAGTTCCCTTCTACCTACCCTTTACTATACCCGCTACATCCTTAGCAGTGGTTTCAAACATGCACGACACCATCAGGAGTAAATGATATCTGTATCTAGATCCAGAAAAGCCCATTTGATGAGAGGCGAAAATAAGGTTAAAATATTATTTAATTTTAAAATTTAAAAAAAAAAGGCTCCATGAAAAAAAATGTATTCACATTTTGGTCACTGGTAATGTCACTGCATTAGGTTTTCTCAAGGATTCTTAATGTCGCTCATATTTTTTTAAGCACTCCTATATCCCAGGCACTATCCTAGACTCTGGAAATACAGACTCTTAAAAATACTCCAAAATCTCTACTCTCACTTGTTACATGCAGGAGAGAGGAGACAAAACAAGGCAGGAGCAAAATAATTTGTATATTTACTGAGACATAAGGGCTCCAGAGAAAAATTAAGGGGAAAAAGCAAAGGAATGAGCGCGTGTATTGACAAGCGAGGGGAAAAACGTAGGATGTTACTCGTTCACCTTGCAAAGTTTATCATCCACATTCAACAGCTGTTAAATAAGCCATCAAAATACTAGATACGTGGGAAGAGAATTTACACACTCCTGACATTCCTATCCTCTCCTACTTCAAGAAACAAAATTACTCGACTCCTTGGCACCGCAGTTCAGAACCTCGATTTATCCATCAGACCTTGTTTCTTTAAAGCATCAGGGCAAAAAGTTCGTTAACTGGTAATAATACCAGTTGAAAAGACAGAAATTAAAACAATCCGGCGTGCCTCCACTGTGCCGGTGCCCGGCGGCCACCGCCCTTCAAGTCGAAAGCAGATGCCCGACTCCAGTTTCTCGCTCACCCCAATCTCGGAGCTACCGGGGGGCCCCCCTGTCACTCGGGCCTGTGGCCTCCAGGCCGGCACTCCTCAGACCCTGGGGCCGGGCTTCCGCCTTCCTCGGCCCTCGCGGGGCTGACGCTTCAGCGGCAGATGCTGGCAGTACCCCCAAGTCCGCCCACCCGCCCCGAGCCAGCTCGGCAGCGCAGGGGCCGCCCCCGCCCGCCCGCCCGCCCGCCGCCCGCCGGCCCCTCGCCGGCTGCCACGTAACCCTTCGCGGGAACCAGGAACTGCGCCGCGCAGCCGGAGGGAGGGGGCGGCGGCGGGTCAGGAAGGGGGCGACGCGGCCGTCCCCACCCCCCTGCGGGCCGCGATGAGGCCCACCGGGACTTTGCATCCCCGGGCCGGCCGCTGGGGAGCTGCCGCCGGCGTGGGGCGGGACATGGCAGGCCTGCACCTCGGGGACTGGGGGGTCCGCACCTACCCCGGACCCGAGCCCCCCGCGGTCCTGGGCGGAGAAGCCGGGGCTGGCAGCTGGAGCCCGGGCCTGGGCAGGGGGTGGCGGGGCAGGCGGTTGGGGCTCGGGGCGGGCTCACCTCAAACATGAGCCCCAGCAGGAAGACCATCGCCACACAGGAGACGATGTCCGCGTGATTCTGCAGGACGAATTCGTGGCTCAGCACCGGGGGGCTCTTGGTGCTCTTCTTGCGAATCGCCATGGTGGGGCCGCCGCCCGCGCCTGCAGGTGCTCCACCCCGGCTCTGCTCTTCCCAGCTGCTCACCGACTCGCCGCCGCCGCCGCCTCCCCCTGGCTGCTCCTCACGGCCCCGCTGCAGCCGCTCGCTGGGGCTTCACTTCCCATCCCACAGCCAGTACGCAGCCGCCGGGCCGCCCGGGAGGAAAAAAAAAAAAGAAAAAAAAAAAAACAAACAAAAAAAACAGCCAGCCCGCAGCGGCGGCGAGCATGCGCACCAGGGAGATGACGCTCGCTAGTGCCGCGGCCTCCTCCGCGAGGCCACAGCGCCACCTGGGGACCGGAGGCCGCTGGCTCGCGGCCGGGCGAGTTTGCTGGAAAGTGAGCGGCGCGCCCCTGCTACGCACCGGGCCCGGGTTTGGGAGTCGTTTGAGGCGCGAGCTTCCTCCGCCTGCTCAGCAGCCTGAGACAGCGACCGGGTGCTCTCCCGCCCTCCTGGCCACCCAGGGATTGGGTGTCAGTGGCCTGTTGCACACTGCCACTTCTACAAGTGACTGCCACCGTCAGGATAATATAAAACTACAAATACTACCTGACTCCACAGGGGTACGGTGTATTCTCCAGTTTTAGCGTCTGCCTTAAAAAATTAACCTTAGAGTTAAGCACTCCCGGGGACTTATTTCTACCCTTTGTAAGTTTGGACTAACTTTAAAAAAAAGCTGACCCTATTCTGGTCTGCCTGTCCATCCCCACCCCCATCCCTGTCCCCGTCACCGTCCCCATCCCTACCCCCATCCCCCACTGGCCTCAGACTGAAGACGAAGGGATCAGTTTGGGTTTACTGGCTTCACGTATATTTAAATTAACAACATGTTTTAGTAATCAAAAAGTTGAAAAGGATCGTGGAAAAGGCACGTCCTCCTCTTATCGTTTTGCCCAAACCAAGAGTCCTTTGTATTCTTTTTCCTGAAGAATTGCTCTCCTGTTTACCCATGAGCCAAATGTAGAAACCAAAGTCATGCTAGATTGAGCCCTTTCAGGGCCCTTCCGCATCCGGTCATCACCAACCCGGGGCAGTCCTATCACCCCGCTTCTCCACTACCACAGTCCGAGGGGACTTGCCTCTTGCCTACAATATTACAACTCTGGTGTAACCACTTAGTGGTTTAAGAATGTGGCTTGTTAAATCAGAATTCTGCCACTTATTACTTGTATGATCAAGGACAAGTTACTTAATCTCTATGGGACCCCATTTCCTCATTTTTAAAAACGTATTCATTTATGTACTTACTGAGGGTTGACTATGCCCTGGGCACTGGGGATATAGAACTGAAATACAAATTAATTTATTCTTATGGGGGAGAGAATCTTTAAACAAGATTTCAAAAGTGAAACAGATGTTAAATTGAGTTGAGCATCCAGGAGAAAAATAAAGCAAGGGGAATAGGAAAGTGTGAGGCACTTACTCTTGCCTGAAGACCTGCAGGAGGTGAGGGAGCAAGCCCTGTGGATATCATCTGTAAAGTGGGGATAACTATAGTGCTCATTTTAGCAATTAAGTGAGATGATTAAAGGAAACTGCTTAGCTAGGAGTTAGGGCTTTATAAATTTAGTCAGTGATTATTATTTTCCTCCTTCTGGGCAATCACTAGTTTCATTTCCCTTCAGATCACCTTTCAACGTTTATGCTAGAATGATGCTTCTAACTGACAGAAAGTTTTTCCTTTTCCTTCATGGAAAGCTAGCATGATGAAGTAGCCCTTTCTGATCTGGTCCTTGCCTACCCCGACAGACTGGAGCCCTGCATCTGCAGGCCATAATCTCTGTACCAGCATTATTGACTACACACACTATACAGTTGCCTCTCCGTATCTGTGGGTGCCGCATACACTGTGGATTCAACCAACCTGGAGTAAAAAATATTCAAGAAAAAAACTGTATTTGTACTGAACATCTACAGACTTCCACTCCATGATTATTCCCTAAACAATATAGTACAGCCAACTATTTATGTAGCAGTTATGTTGTGTTCGATATTATAAGTAATCTAGAAATGATTGGAGGTCTATGGGAGGATTTAGGATATTTCTCATCAGACTATTACATCATCTTATATAAGGCATCTGAGCATGGGTGGATTTTGGTATCTGCGTGGGTCCTGGAACCAATCCCCTGTGAAGACTGAGGGACAACTGTACATGCCATGGCATGCTCTCTTCCCATGCCCTCCCCTGCCTTTGCGTGTGCTGCTGTCTCTGGAATGTTTTCTCCTCTCCTCTCATAGACACCGCAGGCTCCTGCTGTTCCTTCATGTCTCATTTACATATAACCTCTTCAAAACCTTCACTGAATTCTGTGACCTAAGCAATTTATCTTTTATGATTCAATTGCATTTTTGAAATAGTTTTATTGCAGTACAATTTATGTCATATAGTTCAGCTATTTGAGATATTCAATTCTGTGGTTTTTAGTATATTTACAAAGTTGTGCAACAATCACCATAATATAACTTTAGAACATTCTTGTAACCTCTAAAAGAAACCTTGTACACATTACCAGTAACTCTCCATTTCCCCTCATAGTCTTGGCAGCCCTTGGCAACAACAACTGATCTATTTTCTACCTCTCTATATTTGCTTATTGTGGGCATTTCTTTTTGTTCTTTCTTTGTTTCTTTTCTTTCTTTTTTCGAGATGGGGTCTTGCTCTGTTGCCTAGGCTGGTGTACAGTGTTGTGATCATAGCTCACTGCAACCTTGGACTCCTGGCCTCAAGAAATTCTCCCACCTCCCGAAGTACTGGGATTACAGGTGTGAGCCACCACGGCCAGCTTGGACATTACATGTAAATGGAATCATGGTCTTTTGTGACTGACTTCTTTCACTGAAGATAATGTTTCCAAGGTTCATCCATGTTATAACATGTATCAGTGCTTCATTCCTTTTTATGGCCAAATAATATTCCATTGTATGGATATAGCATATCTTAGTCATCAGTTGAACATTTGTGTACAAGTTTTTGTCTGAACTCAATTCTTTTGGGTATATACCTAGCAGTGGAATTGCTGATCATAAGGCAACTTTATGTTTGACCTTTTGAGGAACTCTCACACTGATTTCCATAGTGAATGCATCATTTCCCACCCTATTAGCAACGTGTAGGGGTTCCAACTTCTTCCCATCCTTGCCAGTACTTGTTATTTTCTGTCTTTTAATCTTATCTATCTTAGTGGGTATGAAGTAGTATCTCATTGTGATTTTGCTTTGCATTTCCCTGAGCACTAATGATGTTGACTACTAGCCTTGTCAGGTGCTCGGGAGCCATTGTATATCTTTTTTTTGAAGAAATGTCTATTCAAATCCTTTACCATTTCTAAGTTGGATTAATTTTTTAAAGTTTATTGAGTTGTAAGGGTTTAAAAATATCTATTCTATATGTCCATGTTGTTCTGTATTTTAAAAAATAAAAATAGATTCTAGATCTTAGCAGATATATGATTTGAAAATATTTTTTCAGTCTGTCTTTTTACTTTCTTGATGGTTTTCTTTGAAGCACAAAAGTTGTTGATTCAGTCAAGTCCAACTTATCTGTTTTCTCTTTAATCACTTGCTATTGTTGTCCTATATAAGAAATCAGTGCCTAACCCAAGATTCCAAAGATTTACTCCTGTGTTTTCTTCTAAGAGTTTTATAGTTTTAGCTCTTACACTTGGGTCTATGAGGACTCACTTGTATTTTGTACATAATTTCATTTTAGCAGTAATCATAGTATCTTCTATTGTTTGCAAGTCTGTCTTCCTACTAGACTGGTGCTCCTCAGGAACTGGGAGTCGTTTCATTTTTCCAGCTCCTACTACCTGGTGCTATACTGTCAAATATTTAGTTGTCAATATTTATTGAGGGAATGAAAAGAAAAAATACCACACATAAACGAGAATAAAACCTTAAGATAGTTTAACTAAGAAACAAATATAAAAATGATATATGACTAGGCCGGGCGCGGTGGCTCAAGCCTGTAATCCCAGCACTTTGGGAGGCCGAGACGGGTGGATCACGAGGTCAGGAGATCAAGACCATCCTGGCTAACACAGTGAAACCCCGTCTCTACTAAAAAAAATACAAAAATCTAGCCGGGCGAGGTAGCGGGCGCCTGTAGTCCCAGCTACTCGGGAGGCTGAGGCAGGAGAATGGCGTGAACCCGGGAGGCGGAGCTTGCAGTGAGCTGAGATCCGGCCACTGCACTCCAGCCTGGGCCACAGAGCCAGACTCCGCCAAAAAAAAAAAAAAAAAAAAAAAGATATATGACTCTACAAAGTTACTCATTTTAAATATATTTTAAGAAGACTTGCAATGCACCAAGCAAGTCCTGAGTTGTAGTATATAATTATTAACAAGACAGACTTAGTCTTTGTTCTTGAAACTCATGCCTGAATAGAAGACAGACAATAAACAATGACCAATGTGGTGGATATTTACAAAGAGACAGTGCAAGGTGCAATAGAAGTGTTCTAGGTAATTTGGAAATGAATTGCTCTACTAATGTCAGTTTTTAAACTGAAATTGGTCCTTTCAAACCTTAAAATCTAGTGATTTTTGAATCCTT